CCCCCCCCCACCCCACCCCCCTCTTGCCCTTAAACACCACAACAACCAAAAGAGGGACGTAGTGCGCTTCCACATTGGATCGAACTAGCACCCATGCTTCCCAGTCCAATAATCTATTGATCGAGCTAAGGGGAAATACCATCAAGCATAAAGCAAGAGGGTGACCATAATCCTCTGCATTAAAGCCATTTTGGTCTCTGTGGAGTATAACATATAGATAGATAGATAGAATCCTAAGTACAATTAAAATCTACCACAATTACAAGAATAAAGAAAAACAGTTCCTAAATTAAAACCATTCTACAATAAAAAGAGGGGAGGCGCGGGTGCCTTGTGAATCTGTGATGACATATTAAGAAACTTAATGTGATACACATTGTCATGGATACTGTAAATCCACTTATAGTATCTGTTATTGAGCCTGATAAGGTACATGCGATACACAGTACCTGTTAAAAAATTGTTTCTTGACTTCCTATAGCTAGCATAAATAGAATGGGAAACACACGTGCGACACACCTGTAATTAAACAATTAACAAGCACACACGAAAACAAAAAAATCAATTCGTTATTTTACTTAATAACACACGTATAATAATTCCACACGTTTTAAAAATAAACTCGGGATAGCAAGTAGTGTTCGTCATTGTGTGCATCGTGTCTATCAGTGAGCTCACACGCGGACTACACGGGCCTACCGTAGACTGCATGCTTATCCTAGTTGGATTCCTACGGCTTTCTCCTGTTCTCGTTAGAGAAACCTTTCGTAAAAGTTAAATTATTCATGTCATGGTTACACCTATACCAATACAATGATATCTAACGAATTACTTACCAGAAATTAGAATTATTCTGCAGCTTAAACACGAAATAAACAGCCCATCCTTGTTTATGTAGAAGAGAAGTTCTCTTCAGCCGCCATAACCTGTCAACTTCGTCTAACTGAATTTTTGTTGACGTTTGTTCCGACGATTTTGATTGGATGGATTTGACAGGTGCTCGCCTGACAAGGGAAGCAACTCGTATAAGACACAGAGACGCCCACTTAGTACTAGATTTCGAGTACCGAAGCGAAATCAACCGTGGGTATCTATGTACTACAATTATAATATGTTTCAACTGCAAGTACAATTATTATTGCTATACTAGTACTTAAGTAAACAGACATTGATCACAGCATTGTTTTCTTCATTTTACCACGGAATTAGATCTTCGTAGGTTATTTAACTTTTAATTAACATTTCGGCTTTCTATCTCAATGGTGTTTACGAGGAGTATTTTCCACTTTTGATAACTTTTTTACAGCTGTATTGTGCGGATTGCAGGGTTTTTCAGTACATGAAATAATAGCGAGATTAAAATCGCTCCTGATCTACCGTGCATGTAGATGGAATCAAATTAAATACCGTAGCGCCGACTGGAGGTTTGGAAGGCGGGAATACGTGCTTTTCCCAGTGTAGATTAAGAACGCTCTGTGGTGCGCATGCATTATACTATAATTGAAAAAGGACTCTTCCTTCTAAAAATCATGTTTTATGAAATTTGTATTCGATATTTCATTTCCTATTTATATATAACAGTCAGGATGGATTATGTTACAAATGGTGTTTTTTTTTCGTGGGGTGGGGTATGGGGGTATTATTCTACAGTATAAAGTTAACCGCCGAGCGGAGCAAGGCATTATAATGGAATTACTGTCTCACATAAAAGAGTGCATTATTTTCCAGTTTAAGCATATTTATTGCTTAAACATGAGAAAATGATTAGTTACAATTTTACAGCTTATCTACGCCTACTCCTTGCTTCAACAGGTTGTTACATAGACGTATATACTACTGGCTTTATATGTCTCTGGTTGTTATAAATACCATACTATTGCTGGATTTTATGTAAATTTGCACGTGTGTCCAAATAATTAAGTATTAGTATCTACGGCAACGTCCGAGTCCAAGGAGTAGTGTATGTAAATTAATTAAAACGTTCAAATTCAAAGTCAATATTTTAGAAAATCAAATTTCTTATATCATCATATTTGTTATATAGGCATTATCATAGCTTTCCACAATTGCTTTATGGGCCTGTATTTATGAAGCCGTTCTCATGCTCAAACTCAGACTCTGTGCTAAAGCCCAATTTCTTGTTCTGGTGATAAGTTAATAAGAAACCCATATTCTCAATTAATAATCTGAAAGAATTTTAGAGACTGATTAAAAGCCGAATGCCGTTACCTTTCACTATTTACTATCGACCTTTTGGTCGTGTCACTTGATTTAAGCGAGTTGCAAGAAACTTGGTTTGCCAGCACAGAATCTATGTTGCGCCCGAGGCTTTCAACAATTTTAGCCTTGCATAGATCATAGTGAAGAACTCTACATTGATTTGTGTGGAGAAGATTTAGTTTTTCTCTAACCAAATTTGAAATATATGAGAGGATCTGATTGCAAATTAGAAACCAAAAAAAGCTTTGGAACGATTTAGAGACAACAAGGACCTCACAGAGCACAATGTACTATACATTATTCCTCGTGTGGAGAGTTGACGGTAGAAAGCAAGGCAGTGCTGTTGATGGTCTACAATATGAAATCCTTTTCCTAAATCGTTAATCTATAACGATTGTTATCAACGGTTTATGAATTCAAGACCTATGTTGGAGTTTTCTGTGTTTTGTAAAGACGTTCTGAATCGGTTTCTAAATTTAATTATATTCTAAACTAGTACCAAAATTTCGCTTATTCGAGGTCTAGTGTACATTTCTCTGAATCAATTATAAGATACACGTGTCAGAATAACTGAGACGCAGAAGATTTATCTCCCTTCGAGTAACTTTGCTTACATAAAATTATTGCCTGTAATTCCATTGTCCTACACGGCTAGACCCATCATCCTACATAAAGATACTCATCTGTACTTTACTACTTTCATTGTCACATATTGGTACAGTGTAGGTCCCATCACCAACCATATAGACAATTGTCTGTACTATCATTGTCACATATTGGCAGGTCCCGTCACCAACCATACAGATAATCATCTGTACCTTACTACTTTCATTGTCACATATTGGTAGGTCCTATCACCAGCCATATAGACAATCGTCTGTACCTTCATTGTTACACATTGGTAGGTCCCATCACCAACCATACAGACAATCGTCTGTACCTTCATTGTTACACATTGGTACGTCCCATCACCAACCATACATACAATCGTCTGTACCTTCATTGTAACACAAGGGTAGGTTCCGTCACCAACCATATAGACAAGTGTCTATACCTTCATTGTTACACGAGGGAAGGTCCCGTCACCAACCATATAGACAATTGTCTGTACCTTCATTGTCACACGAGAGAAGGTCCCGTCACCAACCATATGGACAATTGTCTGTACCTTCATTGTCACACACGGGTAGGTCCCGTCACCAACCATACAGACAATTGTCTGTACCTTCATTGCTAAACACGGGTAGGTTCTGTCACCAACCATATAGACAATTGTCTGTACCTTCATTGCTACACACGGGTAGGTTCCGTCACCAACCATATGGACAATTGTCTGTACCTTCATTGTCACACACGGGTAGGTCACGTCACCAACCATACAGACAATTGTCTGTCCCTTCATTGCTAATCACGGGTAGGTTCTGTCACCAACCATATAGACAATTGTCTGTACCTTCATTGCTACACACGGGTAGGTTCCGTCACCAACCATATAGACAATTGTCTGTACCTTCATTGCTACACACCGGTAGGTTCCGTCACCAACCATATAGACAATTGTCTGTACCATCATTGTCACGAATTGGCAGGTCCCGTCAACAACCATATAGACAATTGTCTGTACCTTCATTGTCACACACTGGCAGGTCCCGTCAACAACCATATAGACAATCGTCTGTACCTTCATTGTCACGAATTGGCAAGTCCCGTCAACAACCATATAGACAATCGTCTGTACCATCATTGTCACGAATTGGCAGGTCCCGTCAACAACCATATAGACAATTGTCTGTACCTTCATTGTCACACACTGGCAGGTCCCGTCAACAACCATATAGACAATCGTCTGTACCTTCATTGTTACACGAGGGTAGGTCCCGTCAACAACCATATAGACAATCGTCTGTACCTTCATTGTCACGAATTGGCAGGTCCCGTCAACAACCATATAGACAATCGTCTGTACCTTCATTGTCACGAATTGGCAAGTCCCGTCAACAACCATATAGACAATCGTCTGTACCATCATTGTCACGAATTGGCAGGGCCCGTCACCAACCATATAGACAATCGGCTGTACCTTCATTGTTACACACTGGCAGGGCCCGCCCACAACCATATAAACAATTGTCTGTACCCTCCTTGTCACACACTGGCAGGGCCCCACACCAACCATATAGACAATTGTCTGTCCCTTCATTGTCACACACTGGCAGGGCCCCACACCAACCATATAGACAATAGTCTGTACCTTCATTGTAACGAATTGGCAAGTCCCGTCAAGAACCATATAGACAATCGGCTGTACCTTCATTGTTAAACGAGGGTAGGTCCCGTCACCAACCATATAGACAATCGTCTGTACCATCATTGTCACACGAGGGAAGGTCCCGTCACCAACCATACAAACAATCGTCTGTACCTTACTACTTTCATTGTCACACATTTGCAGGTCCTGCACCAACCATATAAACAATCGTCTGTACCTTACTACTTTCATTGTCACACACTGGCAGGTCCCATCACCAACCATATAGACAATCGTCTGTACCATCATTGTCACACGAGGGAAGGTCCCGTCACCAACCATATAAACAATCGTCTGTACCTTACTACTTTCATTGTCACACACTGGCAGGTCCCATCACCAACCATATCGACAATCGTCTGTACCTTCATTGTCTCACTTGGGGAAGTTCCAACGATTGTCTGTACCTTAATTGTCAACATAGCTTGTCCCCATCACCATTCAACCGTATAGACAATGGACCAATAGGTCACACATGAAGCCTTCAGATCCCACCCACGTTATTGTAATACTATGATACATTGTGTCACAAATTTGAATACATATATCATATACCTATCTATGTAAGTTAAGCATGTAGAAAGTATTCATCTCTTTTTATACACGTTGTGGTTACTTATCCTTTTATTTGTCTTATATTATTATATCACAATAGTTATATCCTCATGCTCACTGAATTGTTCACAACCATGTTTGTTAACAATAAGTATGCATTGGAAACTGTTTTTCCTGCATGATAGCAGGGTGTGCTACTTCATTTCTGAAAAAAGAACTCACTACCTTGTAGTACTTTTTTGAAGAAAAAAAAGAAAATTCAATAAAACAAAGTTAAGGGGAGGTAACTACGAAAAAACACAATGGAATCTCCATTGTTTTGCCTGCAGTGGGAAGGGAATCCTGACAATGAATAACAATTAAAAGTCATTATTTATTCTTCATACCAAACAATTTATTCATAAACATATAAAGTAACAAAATTGATGGCTAGTAACATAGTACATGTATACATTAGTACTATAATGTTGTTAAAGGGTATTTAATGGTTTCCTGGTGAATACCATCCATACATATAAAATATGTCAGAATAATGATAGTTTTTTCACAGTGTTTCATACTATTAAACTCTTATATTTCAAGTAAAGGAAACTGTCATATGCTGATGTCATTTGCCTCCAGAGATTGTAGTCCTAGTCATGAGATGGACTTTGATCTGTCCCATCACCTTCAAAGTAACAATCAAAAGAAATGCCACACTTGTGCAAGCTACATAAGGAGTTGTTAAAGTTATATTCACCACTAGTTTTACAATAGCTTAATCTTACTTAGGTGTAAGATTAGCTTTTAAGTTATAATCATGTAAGCTAATATTAAAACAGGTTTTCTGTATACATAACGGGTAATATTTTCCTGTCTTTAATACAGGTTATAGTTTCCTGTCTTTATTACAGGTACTAGTTTCCTGTATATATTACAGGTGATAGTTTCCTGTCTGTATAACAGGTAATAATTTCCTGTCTTTATTACAGAAATTAGTTTCCTGACTTTATTACAGGTAATAGTTTCCTGTCTATATTACAGGTAATAGTTTCCTATCTATATTACAGATAACAGTTTCCTGACTTTATTACAGGTAATAGTTTCCTATTTATATTAACTTACATGTAAAGGTTTCCTGTCTATGTTACAGGTAATAGTTTCCTGTCTGTATTACAGCTGAGATGTATATATACATACTACACAATATAATTTTATATATGTCTTTTGTTACAGGTAATATTGTAATACATTGTACATGTACTTACATACTTACAGAGTGAACTCCAGTTTACCCTACCTTTTGTCCAGCATGATAAATTGGTAGCAAAAATGGCACTAGCCAAAGTGATAGACAATATGTGAAGGAAAACTCTAGAGGAATCGTAGAGAGGAAGGGACATGAAAAATGCAGTGCTATGGTGGGAACAAATGAAACATGAGGCAGTATACATGTACCAAAATGCAAAGTAAAGGAGACATACAATGTATATAAATTGCCAATGAAATAATTTGAAATCATCTTCAAATAATGTTATGGAGACTATCAGCAGAAGAAAATATCTAAAGCATAACAAAAAATATTAAAGAATGAATTGATTTATAGTGGTGTTATGTGTCCATAATTTTACACAAGTGTATGTCAGGATCCTGTCCTGTCTGGTATACACCAGGAATTGTACCTACAACAAATTTCTAGTACAACTGTAATCACTTTGCGTTTTATATTGTAACATATTATTTCACACAATATATAAAATTAATTGTATCAAAACAACCATGTTGACTAAGTATTAACAGTATATTAATTAAAAATACTGTATCTTAAATGATCCTCACATTCAGCACTTAAAACTGGGTACACAAAGATGTCAAGTTACAAAACAACATTATCATTTCCCCATCATCCTTGCACGTTACTATTGTGTTAGCATAAATGAAAATAAAGCCCATCATAGGTTGCGTCAATGTGTCCAGGTAAATATGTCTATCCATATTGATTCTATTCCAAATATGTTTAACACATATCTTATAATATAACACCTATAAAACAAGAAGATGAGAGCAGGTGTAAATTGTTGGATGTAATTATCTTTTGTATCATTATGCTTTCTACCGACAAATTTCTATAAACATATCTATTGTCTATGCTAAAACCTTTGCTGAACTGTTCAATTTGTATTTTACAAATCTTGACACACCTTTTTACAACATGACAAAAATATAAAAACCGTTCCAATATCAACATCCGGTCAATTAAAATGTTCCATATATAAAAACTCTTTGATTTCTCACTACTTCGAGAAACACTACATGGCAAGTATCTAAGTTTCATTTACTACAACATATTACATAAATGTGTATGGCCTAGAACATCTTCATCAATAACAAAGTAATACAAGCAAAGCTAAGTGTAACACGCATCAAGTCCGCCAGAGTTATTTCCCTTAGTACTAGTATTGTGACAACATAAAGGCAGCAGTAATTTCATTTTTGCAAATTGGAAGATCAACCACAAATAAGGAAATCTATTGATTCTTTTTTGTCTATTACATTTAATGACATGTTAACATGTTAATGAAAGGGAATATTATTGTAGTGAACCAAAATGGTAATCATTACATGCAGAAAATGTTCAATTTTATATTCACTTGTTAAAGATGGTTAAACACTACAATGTATATACGATGAGGGCTTGGCTTCCAATATTATCCTTAATAGGGGTGGGCTTATTATCAAGCATAGTGATCAAGTTTGACTGTAGATAGGATTCTTATATATAGGTTAAATCAATATCAATGATTAGTAATTAACATATATATAGTATGATCAAATGGAACGTCTACCACATGTCACTAACGATGTTTAATACAACGTAGGACGACAGGATTTAGGTCCTTCTTTTGACGTGTAATTTGAACAGAATGTCGGCATGAGCATGAAGAGAACATGAGATATATCTTTAGCCATACTACAACACTTTATCACAGAGTTATCACATGTGCCTATAGCCACATCTATCACTGACAATTAACTTATTAAACACACAGCCAACATAACACATGCATATGTATTATAATGCTTCTTTTAATTTTGACTTTGACTTATCTATCATAAAAAAAAACATCAGTGTCTATGAAAATTAGTCCTGAGACTATCCGGTCCCATGACTGACAATGTTTTTAAAATAACAGAATACTAGCAAAGCTAATAAGAATACTGCAACACTAAGCTGAATATAGTTATTATATATAAGTCTTGTCATCAACACAATAAGTCTTTATGACCACCTTGTCATTAACACAATAAAATAATTTCATTGTAGTAAAATTCATTGTCACTGACACAGTGCTGTAAAGTTATCAATGCTGATAAAACACCCTGGTGATATACAGAAAATAAGTAAGGAAAGCTTTGATTGTTTTGGCTCATTATAATCAGTTAAAAATAAGTTAAACTGTACATCTACAATAGTGCTCTGTTAATATGCATAATTAAGTAACACAAAACTAAAATATTTCTTGTATCTCAGTGAACTTATTGTTGCAAAGTATCTCAGAGAATTAATTTTGTTAAGAATGTCAGACAAAAGTTGAACTGTTCCTCTCAAGAAAATCAAGTATTTGAAACTGACACAGCAAGCTATCTGGTGAAGTGACCCCACACAATATGGCAGTGATCCCACCCTGTTTGCTGGAATGACCCTTCATTATTTGGTTTGGATTGTTTGTGTTTCAGGTCCTAATAACAGCTATGGTCATTTTAGGATGAGTCAGGTTTTCGTGGTGGAGGAAAGCCAGAGTATCCAGAGAAAAACTTGCACCGACCTGTGATAAGTACCCACGCGGCCACCGTGGTCCCTCCATTATTTGGCAGAGTGGCATGCAATAAATATCAAACAAGGGAGCCTAACATTCTAAGACAACTCTGCAGCTTTACATACAACTATACATAACATACATGCCTACACATTCTTTAGGAGTATTTAATATAACTATTAGAAAATATCATTCCTACTTACATAGGTAAGAAACACAGTACAAAATATCATTACAGAATATCAACAGGTCTTGCATTGTCACGTGACCAAACTGTATACGTTTGTATGATAGTTATTTTGAGGAATGTAGTAACAATATACACTACAGACTACTTAGTGCCAATGGTATATGTCACAGTATTTAAATACTGTCCTAGACTAGTGGAACATGTTAATTTAACCCATAAGTATACGAGTGCTACCAACACTACCCTGACTAGAATATACACTTAAGTTTGAACTCATTTGATAATTTTGTTCTATTGTGATTAAGGGATGAATTATTGCATTTTCTAAAATTTAAATTTGTCAATTGTACATTGGTCCTGCTCGAAATGATGATTAAGCTGGAGTTCTATTAAAATAGGAATAAAACTGGAAGTAAGCAGAAAGCTATTCTTGAAAAAACTTTCAATAAACTTTCGTTAGTTGTTATAAAACAGTTCATGTCCTGGGTTCTGTAGCCTTAAGGCTTTTATGGTGAACCCAATCTCTATGAAGATGCAAGCCAAAAGTAGAATGCAGACCATAAATTCTGAGATATATCAGTTTATGTTTATAAATATGTATATAGTTATTTTGTTTGTCTCTATAAACATGTAAAATTGGTAAAATAAGTGCTTAACTGCTAGACATATATAATGTATCACTATTGTAAACCTCTATTTCATGGTGATGTCAGGCATTCAAAACAAATTGAGCTAAGCAGAAAAAATTAGCTCTTGGTACAATTGACATTTGTTAAAACCTTGGAGACTCGGAACTCTGTCCCATTATAAAGCACAGAAAACATGTAATGTTATAAATATAATATGAACAAACAAAAAATATGTTTGTTTCCTGTTACATGTTTAAATAAATTTAGGAAGGAAATAGCTATTATTTTTCAATTCTTTTTATAAGGTTTGTATGGGAGAAGTGTTCTTGGCTTAAAAGTGCTTCCTTGAAAATTGCCGACGAGGAGTCTGTGAACTTTGTAAATACTGTATGTCTTATGGGAGTTATTGCTCTTAATGTATTGTTCAGGTGTCATACTATCACTGTAAAGTGTGACCGAATGACAGATAGTGTGTGACTTGTTTACATTTAATTGACAGGACTTGTTGCTGGTGTAGAGTGGGATGATGTCATTTGTTCACCACCTTCCTCAATTCGAGATTTTTTCAAGGTAGCAAAAATATCACGGAACAATATTTTGTATTCTGGGGGACTTCCCAGTTCATCAGCACAAGTGGCGCCACCTGATGCCGTGTCACATGTTTGTTTCTGTAACTTAAGCAATGTCTGAACCTCTTTATGGGAAACAGCCAGATGACGGTTAAGAGCTTCATCAAATGTCTCTTCAGTACCCTCATATTCATGAAAACTTGATCTTTTTCTGCCTTGCAGCAAATCTTCATACTTCTCAAATAAATTCTGGTACTGGTTTTCCAGTTCATTGAGTATGGACACACTGTGAGAGTCTGGTTCCTCTGGTGAGATGGGCTGGGAGTCTGGTGCGATCTTACTCACAGATTCTGTACTGCCGTACACACTGCCACCACCTCCCAGCCTCATCAGTTTCCCTGTATGCTTCACTTCTGGTTCATCATGCTCTACCTCAGCCTCCAGAGCTGACTTCTGAACCACCTTCTCCAATGATTTACCACACAGATGACAAACCTTGCCAGCATTTAACTTCACCTTCTGTAACTCCTCTTCAAGCCCTTCAGTTATTTTTACCTTCTTATCCAAATCTTTCACTTTGGCTTCCAGAGATTCGTTTTCCTCCCACAATAACTTGACTTCTGTCTCCACATCCTCCCGTTTCCTGCGCTCAATCAGTTGCTGAGCCTTCAGCTGTTTGATTGTTTCCTGCAAGCTTTTAATTTCCACTTCATATGGATTAAGAGGCAAATTTTTGAACTGATCTGTGTAGGTCCAATGAATTTCACCATTGTACAGGTTTTTTATGTAGTCTGTATTTTCACGCAGGTTTACGCAACTAACAGCTCGACGAGATTCTTGTTTTTGTTGTTTGTGCTCTCGTTTTCTCTCAGTTTTTAGCTCATCAATCTTCTTTTGCAATTCATCACATTTGTTTTCCATTGTATCAACCGTATCCGTCAACCTGTGGAAATAGAGACATGATTTGTCAGTATTGTTATCTCGAATCAAAATGATCATCTTACAATATAGAAAATCCTGGGTTGAGTTAACCAAATATCATGATATAAGTAAGCTAAAGGAAACGTTGGAGCAGGTCTTTCATATAGATTATTTTCAAAAGTATAACAGTTCCAAACTTAAGCCAACATATAGGGATTCAAAAGTCTATCTGAAGACAAAAACATACAAAATGTAAACATTCATGTTTCTCAAAATTAACAATTTGGCAATATGTGTTAATGACTGGTCAGTTCTTACCAAACGTCAAAGTGCAATTACACAAACTTTCAAAGGCACTAAATAGAAACACCATGAATATAAAAACATTGCAAAGGGTGAACGTTCCCACTGATGGTGAGTGACATCTTATAAGAAACAACATGGTGCTTTGCAGTTTTGCTTCTTTCTCACGGCATCAATTTAAATAATGAAACTGGAGTTAATGTTAAAATATGCATCAATGACAAATTTGTTCTACAGGTTTGTTGATATAAGTCCAGACAGGTAGAGGTAGATTGTCCATGTTACCCGCATAAAAGCTCTACATCTATTCTACCTGTATAGAATTGGGAATGAATATCCATTTTAAGTAGACATAATTAAGTTCAATGGGAAAGGGAGATAATTAGATCTGGAGAAGCATGTGTTAGTTTTGCACTTTCATGTTTACTTTTCTATTCTTTGTTTTTCGCCCCGCGAGTCGATTATTAGTCGCTGATTCTGTTTCTCCAGCTCCTGAGCATTCTTGTCCAATTCCTCATACACACGCATCCGTGCATCACTGGTTTCCCTCAGGGTCTCCAACTGTTTGTTCAGGTACTGCAATAAACCAAATAAATATATCAACTGAAGGAACAGTCAAATCTTTATAAATTTGTAATACACTTCATATTTGTGAAGACTTCCTAATAATTTTTACTATTTGATACGATACATCATATGAATATGCATATCTGTATCTGCTTTTTTTGTGTAAAGACATTTATGCTAATTTCCTAATAGCTTTTCTGGTACTTACCTCATTCTCAAGGTGATGGTCCTGGCTAACTTAAGCTTGCTAGTTATGTTGGACATAATGCATTTCTGGTACTTACCTCATTCTCAAGGTGTTGGTCCTGGCTGGCTTGCTGAATCTGTAGAATGTGAGTCTCTAGTTCTCGATTTCTTTCAAGGAGAGCCTTTCCTAGTTCTGCAGCCAATTGTAGGTCTAAAAATATTTTTAAAAGTTGAAATTATCAACAGAGTTAGAATTAAAATTTCAGTAACATCCTAGCACAGACTTATATCAATCTAATTCTTTGGTTCTAGTAACAAACTCTTGCCTTCATGGATACAGGTACAAAAGGACAAAAATTGCCACTTTATGAGACTTCATAAGACCTTGGATAATGTTACCATAAAATAGCATACATCACATGTACACTGTCCAGTGTGATACACATGTGTCATTGTAATTAGGAAGTTACAGCTGTGACAATATCTCTATGAACAGAGAGAAAACTTTATATGTCCCAATCATCATGTGTTATCCCACTGAACTGTCAGACACCAAATGTGACGCCCAAAGTACCATGACACTCACAGTTATGATATTTTCAGGTACAACTGTAAGACATTGACTTATCCCAGTGCCGTTTTTACTGTGTCTCGGTGAAGAGTGCATGAATTCCCTTGTTTCTAGTAGCCACTTATAGTACATATACACTCGACGACAGCAGACAACACTTAACTTTAGGCAAACATTATGGATGATCTACTTATATATTGAAACATAAATTTATTGATATTATTAGATTTACTAAACCTTTAGGCAACAGTTACAATCAAATTATGTTCATTGTATGATATAGACTTTTAGCTTATTATCATAATGGACTGATGCACTGATGCTCATGTTTTCCATTTAATAGAGACAACTTGAGTCAAATGAAATAAAGTACAAACATGAGGAACATGAATGTAGCAGATGATATTGTCAGGCATTTTTGAACTGTAGTAAAAATTTGTACATGAACCATTTTAATAAAAAAAATTGTACATTAACCCTTGATGTGAAGGTATTCAAAATGCCAGCCCCAGTTTGTTGGAACAATATCACTCACAATGAAATTTTAAAACTGGAAAAAGACAAAGGAAGGTATCCATTAAAGTGACAGTAACTGTGTACCACAGTGTACAGGATGTCAAGCTGAGGTTTAGTCATGAGACAACATCTATACAGGTGATATGTGATTGATTGTTAAAGTTTGAGATAACAGATTTAGAGTTTATCCTTCGTGATGTAACGATTCATTAGAAGGAACATGTCGGCCTGGGAACTCTACAGGTATGCTGTCAGCTATTCATCACCTAAGTGATGTGTTGGCGCCCCGGGGCCTGACAGTACTAAGTAGACTGGCCGGATGTTTTAAGGTGTCAGGTCATGCTTGCTTTCCAGGATGGAATTCTTTACCAGGTCCAGTAATATGTCTACTATAACATCCGGTCCCCAACAATCATAGAGACATAGAGACCAGCCTGGCTACCGCTGAGGTGTTTAACCCATTCACCCCTAAGGTCACATTTGAAACCCTACCAAATCAAAGACTGGGCAAGTCCAGTTTAAATATGTAGGTGTGAATGAGTTATCATTAAGACTCCCCTCTACCAACAGAGAGACAAGTTTTAATGTTGCTAAAAGTTGAGATGGTGTTACAATGGTTCCCTATAGTTTCCCAAATAATGATAATCAACGTTATTTAATATATTCTTCAACACCATACTGCAATAAAAAGTCTCAAAACACAATGGTCTTCAGTATTTCTGATTAAGGCAAAATAATGAAATAAATGTTACACAGTTATTATGAAACATTCATTTCTTAATGCTGGTATAGTCACATGCTAAATTGACCTTGAAAGTAAGTGAAAAGTCAAAAAAGGGTGAAAATCCCTACCATTCAATAAATTACAAAATAATCGAATTTAAAAGAGAAAATCTATCATTATCGACAAGAAACTCAAATGACCTGCATTGTTCAGTTGAATTAAGCATTCTCGTCAAAATATTCTCATCAAAAGTAATTTGTCAAACATTTCGCTATTTGAGATCATACCCTCTCAGCTCCTTGGTGGCCAACAACATAATTTACTTTGTATAATATTTCATTCTTTGGTCCACAGGATCATGCTCCATAGCAATTTTGGTTGAACTGTAATAAACTTTTCAAGAGGAGAAGACTTAAAAGATGTTGGTGCCAACATTACTCCCTTTTGGGCCCAGCTCACAGGGAATCTGCATTCTTCACTAACAATATGAATTCTTTCTCAGGTACCATGAACCAAGGATGCTTCATTGGAAGTTTGGTTTAAATCCATATCTATGTGTATTTGGTTTAGTGTAGGAATCTCAATCATTTCCATACTATGACCCAGTGGGAGTAAGTCCAAAGGGGCAGGGCCATTTACCTGGAGCAAATTCTAGTAGGATATGTGTGTTCATATGTCCAGTATTGAAAACTTGTACCGGTGATAGGGTGTGGATCCCAACCCATTTTATGGTATGACCCTGAGACTTAAGCCCCCTGTGGCATGGCCTGAAGGCACTTAGGGCCATTATCCTCAGATTGCATAATTGTGCTCCACTCTTCATTAACTATACTCTGTGTTACAGTGTTAAGAAAGTCTGTACCTTTATAACACTACAACAGTAATTAGATATTTAAATAAAATCTGTAAAATATCATTTATAAAAGGGTGGTTCTTAATTCTACACGGACATTTTAATTTACAACTGAGCTTCCTTGTCATCAGAAATAGACCAAGTGACCTTTAGTTCTGTCTCACACTTGTGTAGAAAGAGAAGCAGGATATGGTTCTATGAATGTACCCTGCTACCTAAAACAGTAACATTTACAGGTACAGCTAGGGGGCTATACAGTGAGGCAGGCTATTGATCACTGGCTATTGTCTGTTGACATGAATAAGCACCATAGATGTCAGCCAAAACCATCAGACAGTTCTAACATACAACAGATCTAATGTAAATATTGGCTCAGTAGCAACATGTTCTTTATTTACCAAATTATCATTTTCCAATATCTGGTTAGTTTTCTGATCATGCTTCTGTTAGCCTTATCGATTCATGTATGTGTAGAATAATGGTCAGTTCACAGACACACCACTGTCCTATTCACATCACAGAAAATCAGAGACAAAACAGTGAGAATTGAATATAGGTTCCTCTAAACGCTACATGGATTCCAAATTTTATTACATAGCCTCAAACCATTTATGCCACAGAAATGGTTAAATGCAACAGGCCAGATACAAATCTGAACCAGGAACTATTAGACTGACTCTGATATTTGCCTAATGTCTGGTCACTTTGATTAATACTGTCCAGGTTCTATCTCTTCACCTGCTGAAAACACAAAACATACAGTCCACGTTCATGCAGGTATCTCTTAGCCAAGCATACAGAGTATTTTGATGAATGTCTGACAAATTTTCATTACAAGTACAGGGATAGTTGACATTTGACAAACATAAGCGACACCGGTACCAACTTCAAAGAACAATACAATCTGGATACATTATGCTGTCATTATGTCTGATAGGTGAACATGAAGTCTATAACTCACATATATAACTGTAAATGACTATTGGGAAAATCAAAGGAATCATCCATTAATTACTCCATCAACAAAGAATTACACTAGCAGTACTGCTTTAGAAACCTCTTTGTCTGTTTATAAAAAAAAAAAACCCAACCTATTGCCTTTGTAAACTGTGATGTCGGGAGCATTTGACTGTTTTGAGTATTTGAACTCTAAAGTGCTGTTGGTAGGCATGGGTTGTGAACTCCAGTTGTCTAGGCAACTTATTTTCAATCAGCACCTTGGTGAAAGTATCTGTCATATACATGCAATGTGTGTCTATAATGTGTTTAAATGTGAAATAAAAACATAATCAAGAGATTTTAATCTATAAATATAGCCTTGAGGAGAAAGTGATCTGTTCATGGGATCTTTCCTTTAGATTACCAAAGGATCTTTTTACATTTTACAACTCTTTTTTGATAAAACACACCAAAAATCTCTGTTTAAGTGACAGCTCTTTAAAGCCACCAACAAGTGTAGGATACTAATCCTATAGGAGTAGTGATACTGATGCTGTAATTAAAACCGATCCTGGTGTATGTGCCACTAATTAATCACTGAACCATATCAAACGTCCATTAGACCAGCAAATCAAAGCCTTACATGTCCACACTCAGGGTCAACAGCTGACCGGTCAATAGCAGATAGTCTAGGATAAGCAATGAAGATGAGGGTCATTGATCAATATCTGCACCCAGCTGTTCAATGATTTGTTGGGTTAACAACAAACTAACAATTTAGCACAAAGTTTGAATCTAGTATGTATCAAAATTCAAGATGCAAGTTGTATGTACAGCGATTTAAAATGGTCATTTCATGACAATAAATGCAAAATTATTTGTAAATTTTTAAGAAAGTTGTCAAAAAACTCAATTTTGAACATTTGTGTTGATGGTCTTGCTTACCTTGAGTTAAGCTAATCAGGATAATCAAACTAACTATACAAGAAGTGAACTTAACAGATGCTCATGTTGTTATTTGTAACCTCAATGGTCTTGTACATTTTATAGAGCAGCTTGATGAAGTGCAGAAAAAAATATGACTTCTGAACAGTAGTGATGTTAAGTGGTCTGACATGTTTAAGTTGGCTGATCCAGCTGTCAACGTGCTTCTGAAGTCACAGTAGAATCAACGTCACTAAACTCTTATTAGGATTAGGATATTTCTTAGAACTTAAATTCTATGTTTTAGAATAGATTCATAAAAATAAACTTCAGTTATATACACTTTAATCATATACAATTCACCAAAATTATGTAATTGTTAAGATCTGGAAGGCTAGCTACAATGAATTGATATGCTGGTGACAGTTTAATATAGAAATCAGAAACTAAGCAACAGTCCTGATGGGGTCACAAACTGTGTACAGATGGTGGATAAGAATTTAATCAGAAACATCAGCAAGCAGATCTATCATGCTATATTGGCCACAGAGACATCAGATCCTATGGTTAAAGACCTTTCTTAATACTGTCTGTCTGCACAGGGAGACCTTAACCAACCTGTGCCCAGAACTTCCTGACAGGTTAAACACACAGCCAGTCATAGAGGTGACTTTTAAATAACCT